TTATGTTATTGGTAGCGATGATTTTTGTATAAACAGGTACAAATTGACTTACACTTTTGCTTGCCTAGCTCTTCCATGTAATTTTTGTTGGTTGCAATGAATGTTGTATAAACCCGGTATGCAGGTGCACACGGATGATCCTAGATTTTTGTACATTATGTCTGAATGTGTTATATCAGAAGTACTTGTACAAAGTTTCCATTTGTTGCTCTTTATGCATGCGCGTGTGACTATAAATTATGTATTCCGGAATTACCACTAACTCGAGAGTATGCAGTGTAGTTCGATTCGTCATCTAAAAGACAGTAATTTCAGAATCTCGTGAATACATTATGATTCTCATTTTTGAACTGAGTAAAAAATAAGTACCAGCATAGCAAAATTCATTGAAGTTGTATTTCATGTAATGTTATAACACATGTAGTAACATGGAAAAAATCTTGCACATAGCTGTTACATTGAAAAGTTTTCTCTCAATTTCTAGAAGGAGCACCACATTCAAAAACTGAAAATGGAATTGAAAACCGTACTTAACTCATTTTTAGTCATTGCCAAAATAATTCAATAGTCATAACTCACATTGGTACTAATCTTCCAACCCCAGCCACCATTTCAGGACATATACTAGGGATTTAAGTATGATTAGACCATCATCCATCACACAACTTTGTATCAAATTTTAATTGTATGGGGGTTGGTGGTTGGGGCACTAAATGAGCTTCAATGCATCTCTCCAAAAAATATACTATATATAGCATGGTAAGTCCACATTATCATTGACACCTTCAATATTCACATTTGAAAATTCATGTTGTAGTCTCTACGTTTACTCCTCAACAGGTTCAATAAATATTTTCATATCAGAACAATGGCGTCGTCGACGACAGGGAGCAATGAATCATTCAAGCATGAGGAGCCGCTACTAACACCCGGTTCGTCCCCACTATGTCCCATCGTTATTGCTTCGGACGATGACGAAGTGAGTTATGAACGTGGTAAGAGAGCCACATCTATTGTTCCTTTTCTAAACCTCAACGATGTTGCAAGTGAAGCTTCCCAGAGTCTAAAGACCGTGCTTGATTGGGTCGTCCCATTGAAAGTTCCGGTGGAAGTTGAGTCTGACGATGACGCGTGGTTGGCTCATGTTCCATCTCCCGAGATCATTGTGATCAGCTCCGATGACTCCGAACAAGATGGTTCGAGTGTGGGCAATCAATGAGGTGGCGAATATGGGTATGTGGTGCGTATGAAATAATGTATAGTTCGTATTTTGTCAGGGATGGATCTGGTAACATAGTTCGGCAATGGTGAGCAAGAGCACCTCCATTGTCTACATACTGTTTTCTTCATATTTTTGTAGATTTTGGTATTGGACCTACTATGGACGACGACAGAAATAATCTGTCGGGAACGACATGTATACTGTCGGGAACGACAGATTAACTGTCGGAATGTAAGAGCATAGGTTCATTTGTGTAAGTATGAAACTTGTGCTCCCCTGTATGGATCCCTTGTTTACTGAAAATTGACGTACCCTGGAATGAACAAGTTCACTGTATTGACAACGTAGGTTCGTTGGGATTTCTTGGTTCGGGCTTAACACATGAATTTGGAAGCATCGAAAAATAAGTTCTTATTAAAATTCCTTGTAGGTGGAGTTAGGTGTCTATATGTACGTGGTGTCTTATGAATAAGTCCGTATGAAAAAAGTACTAATCGGGTCAGCCCTAAATCGTCATTGAAACATACCATTTTTGTTTGTTGCTAAATTATAAGACGATGTCTGCTGTTAAGAAACGATAATATGTAAAAGAAATGTTATGATTCAAAATATCTGTGTAAGTAGAGACTTGAATGGGTAACAGTGTAGTCATGCAGGCATAAGTATTTCGGACAAGTCAGATTATATACTCTGTAACCATCTGTCAGGACTGACAGTTTAACTGTCGAGATGTTCTGAAGGGATATCAATTACAATATCTTCTAACTAGTTGCGATCATGAGAAACACTAATGTCAGCAAACAAACGAAATGATAAAAAAATGACAACATTTACATTCTTTCATTACAAACGACATGGGGGTGCCAGTTCACATACAACTTCAACCACTTTCGAACAAAAACCTATTTATTTCAAACGCCTATTTAAACGGTCGGTGGTATAATGGGGTTGGAACATGTGCTCCGATTATGACCTAGTCCACCACAGCGAGTGCATTTCCTCAGTCGTGTGGCGGACTCGAATCTGGATCGCTGACGTCTTGTAGGTGGTCTACTTGGAGGACGACGTACATTGGGTGGCCTAATAGGAGTACCTGTAATTTCGTTTGGCACTATCCAATCCACTTCACGCATAACGGGATATATAGCTTCGCTATAGGCACCTCTCCAGTATTCCGATGTGTAATACGGTGAGCATAAGTCGTACAATGACATACCTCGCATGCAGGCAGCTCGAGTGGCATGAACGCATGGCATACGATTAATTTGAAACTCACGACGAGTGCAACTGTTATCAGAGAAGTCGACGATGTTCGTGTCGTTGGACATTCCAACCTGTGTTAACTGTTCTGTCAAACCATGAGCTCGAAGCCTTGTACCTGCTTCAAACGTTGTCCGCAACTCATTCTCCATCCTCAACGACAGCATGCCAGTACATGTGGTTGCACTGGTTCGACGTTCCTGAAACCACTTCTGCATAGTTTGTCGAATGTGTTCGACCAAGCACGTGATCGGTAATGAACGGGCATGTCTCAACATTAAGTTCAAAGATTCGGCATTGTTATTTGTCATAATGTTGTACCTTTGACCAACAAATAGTGCTCGTGACCAAAACGAGAAACCTGCTCGCTCTAAGTACCCATACGCTCTTGCACTTACCTTATGGATCTGTCCCATAAGTCTTTCAAACTCTTCGATCCGAGAAGTTCGTGCAGCTCGTTTGAATAGAAATATTACACTTGCGTTGTTGTACCGCTGGACTAAGTTCTTTTCTAGATGCCAAATACAGTACCCATGACGGGACTGAGAAAATAGGTGAGCAATGGCATTAGAAATGCTATTCTTCCGGTCGGAAACAAAAACCAATTCAGTAGAGTCGCCTATAAGCTCTTTCAAGTTGGACATAAACCACATCCACGATCTATTTGTTTTAGCATCAACGATTTCCCATGCCAAGGGATATATCTGTTTGTTGGCATCTTGGCCAGCTGCCAGCAAAAGTGTACCTTTGTATGGACCTTTCAAGTGACTACCGTCAATACAAATAACGGGCCTCAAGTAGCGCATGTAGCCACGAACGCTTGCACCGAAAGCTAGGAAGAAGTAATGAAACCTGTTATGAGAATCAACTTCGATGTGTGTTACTGCCCCGGGTTACGCTCTCCTAGAACGTGACAATAGAAAGGTAATTTTTGAAAACTATCCCCCGGTGTATCGTGTAGCATATGTAAAGCAGCAACTTTCGCCCTATGTGCTTTTTGGTAACTTATTTTGACACCAAACTCGTGTTCTATGTCACGTGCAATAGCGGTAGGATCGTACAACCGGTATGGATTATCCAATTTTCTCAAAATGTGCTCGACAATTACAGAAGTAGTGGCATGTCGATGTGCGTTACGATGGATATCTACCGAACATGTGTGCACATGGTTGAATTTTCGGATCATGAATATAGAAGTCTGTTTCACACTCGAAGCACGTAACATCCACTTGCAATTACGGTCCACGCATGCAACGGTTAACATTTTGTAGCTTAACCTGCTTACATGAAATCCAAACTTGTCTTGCAAAGTAAGTACACGAATTTTCGAGTACAGCTCTTTCTTGCTCAAGAATATTTGCCGTTCAACAAGATCGGATGTATCCACAGCTGTAATCCATTGGTCTGTACCCGAACGAATAAGTTGTGATGACATTCGGGCGTCAACGTCTGCAATACTAGCAGCATCTGTACCATTGAATGGGTTGTCCAACATATCATCTACAGGTGCAGCCCCATCATCAAAATTCCCCGTTTCGACTGCATTATTCACTGGGGAACTAGGCTCATGATTCATGCCATCGTGTTCTAAGTTCTGGTAAACATCCGTTGCGGCAAACAAATGGTCACGCAAATTCGTATCCCTCCCCATGTCAACAGTTCGCATATTTGTCTCCACAATATTAACGCACAGAGCAGTTTTCGTATGACAGATATGTACCACATGAGGTCTTCATCTTCACGTATTTCAGCTGGCGGTATAGTCATGTTCGGGACTTTGAACTTCAATTCTATTTCGGTGTGCAGATCGATAATGCCAAGTTTCTCATTCAACCGTAACAGAAGTCCGGCTAGGATAATATTTCTCGGCACTAAAATGGATGTGGTTTTGTCCCCTGTCCACTTCCATTCGTCATCCGCGTGAATAAACCTTCCCCTGTGCGACATGATGAATCTCAAATGGGTGTTCATACCTAAAATAAAGGGATTACAACGATAAGAATTACGAACAATCAATATGTCAATATGTAATAGCATCGAAGGGGCACTTTCGAATATTTAAACCGATGCAATAGGAGAATGTGAAATGCAGGGTGTCAACAATTTTCAATTGTCGATTTTGACAGTTTAAAACTCTATCCCGACAGTTTATCTGTTGATCTCAACAGTTTATAAATGTCGAGATCAACATGTATAACTGTCGAGATCGACAGATAAACTGTCAAGACCGCCGACAAGTTTAACGCCTGTTTGTTTGTTACTTTCTCCGAAATATTAATGATTATAATCAATTCTCAACTACAACAATTATTCCATTGCTCTACAGATCTCCATAAACAAATGACTGCTTCATTAAATATGGAATAGTTGACATTTCCCTAAATATTTTTGGTATATTTTCCCTTTAAAATGATTTGAAGAAGAAAAAACAATAAAAGAAAAAACAATACCATCATCATTAATAGTGGTTTTAAATGCTTTCTTCACTTTGATGATCATGTTGCTTTTAATATGTGAAAAATAATAAGTTATTACATAAAAATATAAATAATTTGTAATAACTAACATCTCCAAATGGATGATGAATTGAATAGTAATATATTGTTGATGAAGGAATAAAGAAGATGAAAGAAAATGGAGGATTTTTTCAAGAAATGATGTATTTGATGTGAACTAGGATTATTTTGTTTCTTTTATCTTATTTTTGCTTCTTTTAAATTTTTTTTACGTCTTTTCTCTTTTTTTTTAAGTCAATTCATATTATACAATATAATATACATTTACCAAATCATTATAATATATATATATATATATATATATATATATTAAATAATGAAATCATTACAATTGATTGGATTGGAGCCTACCATTAATGAGCATTTAATGCTCCTAAAAATGGGAGATTAAGGGTAATTTAGACGTTTTCCATCAAAAAAGTGACATTTTTGATAAAATTTAGTGCACATCAAAAGTTTTATAGCAATTTTCAAAAAAGTGTCATTTTTGATAATTTTCCTTTAAAAAAATGGGTACCAAATAAGGGTTTAGTAAAGAATTTGTGGTTGAAAAGAATTTAGAATGTATTTGATTGATATGGAAAATATCACCTAAAAAAGAAAATATTTTCCATCTTTTGTGGAAAATAAAAACCACATCTACCCAAGGAAAATATTTTCCTTAAAAACAAGGAAAATTAGGCATATTTTCAAAAGTTGGAAAATGTTTTTCATGGAAAAAAATAACAATCAAACACTTAAAGTAAAAATTTGGATGAAAAACTGATATTTTCCATTGAAAATAAATGTAATCAAACACTCCCTTAGAGAAAATTACATTTTGAAAAAAATGGGTATCAAACGGAACTTTAATTATTTAATTATAAAAAAATTTAGAATTCGAAATAAACGCCACACGCAACATCAGACTGCACAACCTGCTCCTCTCTGCAACACTCTTCCCACCACAATTCAAAGCCCCGCCTCTCTCTCCGTAAGCAAGCTCCTCTCTTTCTCTTTCTCTTTCTCTTTCTACGTGGATATATTTGTGTTTTGTGCATCTCTGTTTATATGGGATTTTGTTTATTAGTTTAAATTTACCGCTTGTAATGCTATCGATCTTTTGAGGTATGCTTGATCTTTATTTATCCCTTTTAACTATTTTTTATGAAATTAGGGTTATTGAAGTTCGATTCCGATGTATAATTTTGAGTTTTTGGCTCTGGGTTTCTTTAATTTTTAGGTAGACCTCAATGCTGATTATTTTTAAGAGTTTGCTGTGAATAATGAATCGTCAATACGGTGAACGATCTAATATCTACTTGCATTTTTTAATTATTTGCGTATATTTTGGTTTGGTGTATGATGCACTCGTGGAAATGAGGAATTTGTTTTTGGGTTTTATTTCTGTGTCATTGTTCTTAATCTGTCGGTTATCAGATATAGACTTTTGGAAATTGTTTGTTGATAATAATTTTTAGTCTCGAGATTCTTGAAGTTGGACTTATGCGTATGTTTCTGTGAAGAGATTCCAGAAATTATCTTACAGTGCTTTCGACCCTGATAAGTTTGTTGGATTTGGTTGTGGTGCAGTTACAAAAGTTCGGCTCTCTTTGCGCGTCCCGTTCTCTTCTCCAATCCGACTTCTTATTCTAATTTTATATCTGTATGGACGTTAAGCTATGGAACGACAAGCGCGAAAGAGAGATGTATGAGAATTTTGTAGAGCTATTTGCCATTGTAAAGGCAACAGAGAAGCTGTAGAAGGCTTATGTGCGCGATATTATTTTAGCTGCAGAGTATGAAACTGAATGCCAAAAGTTGATTGCTCATTTCAAAACCCTGTCGTCCACATTGAAAGATATAGTCCCAAGCATTGAGCGGTTCCACAATACGTACAAGAAGGACTGCCCGGCTGCCCTTAACTGGCTTGTGACATCAGGAGTTCCACCCACCGTTGAGCACCGGGCAGCTGCTGCTATGTCAGCCACTACCTCACCTGCAATTGTGGCTGAGTGTGTGCTGAATTTTATTACGGCTATGGATTCATTAAAGTTGAACATGGTCGCAGTTGATCAGGTCCATCCAGTGCTGTCGGATTTATCGCAGTTGATCAGGTCCATCCAGTGCTGTCGGATTTATCAGCTTCACTCAATAAGCTGACAGTATGACCGCCTGATTTCGAGGGGAAGGAAAAGATGAGAGATTGGATCGTGAGGATATAAAAAATGGAATAAGCGATTTGTACAATGGATTTGTACAACATGCTTGACAATGATGTAGGTGTCAAAAGGTGTTAATGATATCCTGTCACGTAACATATTGTCAAACTTCTTGTAAAAATCATTGTACAATAGGCATGATTCATAAAAAATGGGCGCCGCTGATGAGCTGACTTCGCAACAGGCCCGTCAGCTTCATTTTGATCTGGAGTCATCTTACAACTTTTTTATGGCGTCATCGCCCACTGCTTGCAGTTAGTTGATGGTTCTATAGGTAAGAATGTAAATCAGTGGGCAATTTTTTCAATTTTTTTTAGTGTTTACCTGCTTTAATATATCTTCTGTATTGTGTTCAATTGGCCTTGTTAGGATCTGGTTATTAGTTGTGCTTGCCGACTTTTTGAACGCATCATATGCTTAAGAATGGTGGGGTTTTAAGCTAAGCACTAACTCCCTATTTGGGAGTGATGATTTGGTCCACCCTTATTTCACTATTTCAGTCTTCATATTTGATTTCTTTTCTCATAGGGTTTTAAGCTAAGCACTAACTCCCTGTTTGGGAGTGATGAAAATACTATTCAAAAAGGGTTAATTTCACAAACGATCACTGAACTTACTTAAAAATCTCAAAATAGTCATTGAAATTTAAAACTTGCAGATACGGTCACTGAACTTACAGGGCACTTTCACTAATGGTCACCGAAAGAGCAAAACACTTGAATTGGATCCTTGAGGACCTCACGTGTAAATTCCATCTAATTTCATTTGGTCAAAATCTACTCTTGAAATTTAGAAATCAAGTATTTTCCCTCCAACTTACAACAAATTCCTGACGTCGAAAATTGCCAAATTCGACCACCATGTTGCCCGAATTACCACCGGATTTTTACACCACCAATATCTCATCATCCACCTCCACAATCCAATACCGATAATTAACCAAAGAATATCAAAAATCAAATGAAATTCAAGTTCAAAAAACCATCACTACGCACGGTGTTACCTTCAATTCTAGCCAATTTGAGATAAATTGGTGAGGACCCATATGTGCATCTTGTTCACCATGATGAGTAGAAGGTAATGGTGGTGGTGCGCGAATGTAATTGTTGACGCGGGCGTCGAAAATTGGGGCGAAAAGTACGTTCTTCGTTGTCGGAGAACTGGTACGAGTTATATCCTAATTTAAATTGTTTTATGATGGTATGAACCATGTACTCATTCGTCTTGGGGAATACTAACAGCCTGTGATAGAGTTTTGACATGGGTGATGATGGGTTGGCTGAAATTCGGAGGTAAAAACGTGCGTGTGTTGGTTTTTTGAACTTGATTTTCATTTGATTTTTGATGTGTTTTGGTTAATTGTTGGTATAGGATTGTGGAGGGAGATGAGGAGGTATTGGTGGTGTAAAAATCCGATAGTAATTCTGACGGTATGGTGTTAGAATTCGCCAATTTTCGGCATTGGCGAATAGTGTGTAAGTAGGAGGAATTTGACAATTTTTGGCTAGAGCGATTTGGTCCTCAAGGTTTTAGTTTCAAGTGTTTTGGTCCTTTAAGTTTGAATTAAAATTATAAAGGTCCTTCAGTGACCGTTAGTGAAAGCGCCCTGTAAGTTCAGTGACCGTCCCTACAAGTTTTAAATTTTAGTGACCGTTTTGAGATTTTTAAGTAAGTTCGGTGACCCTTTGTGAAATTAATCCTATTCAAAAATGATTTTTTTTAATCAAAAAAATGGTACTCAGCTGAATATGAATGAAATCTTATTTCTAAATTCTTATTTAAAATTTGAAGAAGTTAGTTAAATAAAGATTCTAGTTTTGATGTGTTTAGCACTTCAGCGTTCCAAAGTTTTCATTGATACTTGTTTAAAGCATTTGTGAAAATGATTGCAATGTTTTTTTAAATTTATTTCTAAGTCAAAGATCTATTTGGTCTAACTAAAAATAAGATATTTAGTAAAATTTGATAAAATATGTGATTGAAAAATTGTACAAATCATAGAATAACTTAAATAACTAATTAAAATTAATCATTATTTCGTGTATGTTTGACGACATTTTTTCAAAAACTCATTTTTTTTAAAAAATATTTCCAACCACATATTTTTCATTAAAATAAATTTATACATAAATTAAAAAATTTTAATTATCTATTTTCCAAAAAATAACTATTTTGAAATACATTTTCTCATCAAAATGACACAAACAGGTCTTTTGACTTCAAGATTTTTTTATTAAAATTTTAAACCACAAAGAAAGAGGATCAATGGAAATAAACAGTTATTAGTCCAAAAATGTCAACTTCAACGCGACCCATTTCCCGTAAAATCCACACACTTGACACATCGTGTTGCGGCCACCTTTTGCACCTTCGTGATCTTGATCTCCATTGAAAACCTACTCCCTTTCTTTGTTTAATCTTTGTTAATGGACGGTGTTTCAAGATTCGAGAACACTAAGCTTCTGAGCTAACAAGGCAGCAATGCAACACGATGACGCAGCGGTGAAACCGCTGCCCCCTTTTATCTTCGATCGTTTCAGGGCCATGGTGAAGGAGAGAGAGGAAGAACTTAGGGTTTCCTATTATGCCAGCGATGACGTCGTTTCTCCCTTGAGCACTGATGAGATTGTTCGGCTTTATGAGATTGTTCTATTGGAGCTCACCTTCAATTCCAAGCCCATCATCACTGATCTGACGATAGTTGCAGGA